GTGGTTGATAATGGCTCAAAAACTTGTCATTCGTAAACAAAGTCAACAGTCACTTTGCAAGTGAAAGGGCGAATCATCACTGAAAAGAGAGGCATTCATTAAATTGTTCACTCCTTGAACACGGTAACTGAACATGTATTAAAAATCGTGTTGCATAAAGCCGATTTTCGTAACGGTCTTACGACACTATATGGTATACCTACTGTCAGTTAGCTAGGTAATTGAAGAAATGTCATATTTTGGCTGGATCATGTAACTGGGAGACTAGATCATGATAATCTTGAACTGATAGAGACTACCGGCTATCGAAGGTTTGATAATCGTTCCCACTCTTTGAATTTGCTTTCATAGTTTGTTCATCGTCATTTTGGACACTAGCCAACAGAAGGCAGCCAAGATCACAATTGAAAGATCTCCTTTTCTGTTGTTTAGAATGAATACTTTTCTCTTTTCTTGGGTCAGCTCAGCAGTTTAAACCGCCATCTAAGCCCTCTAAATCGAATTTTATTTTATATTTTCACTCCAGATAGTATTTAAAGCATTTACTTGAGAATTCCAACTTAGGCGTTCAGCTTTATTATTAAAGGCTTCAAAACTTTGTTTACAATATTTAAAATTAGAACACAAATTTTCAAATCTGACATCTACTGAGGGATAAAAATATCTTTCTTATAGGAAATATCACGAGAAGAAAATTACGGCTTTAGTTTTATTGCATATCTATCTTTCTGAATAATTTTCACAAAAGTAAGATTTCTTCTTCCCAACTTTCACAAACACGTTCTGCATGTAATATTACTATAGCTACTGATTTGAATTCGTGACTGAGAATTTGTGAATCCTGATGCATTTTACAAAGCGTTTTCTTCACATTTTTGTTATTTTTTACCCGTAAATTAGACTTTGATTAAAATACTGCTATTTTTGAATTAATGTTGGAACAGCAGATTTGTATATACATTTTTCGAGATAAAATAGGACCCTACAAGTTTGCTTTATGTTTTGTCTGTATCTTATCATAAAATAAAGTTGTTCAATTTTTCGTCTATTGTATGCATCTTAATTTTCATCTGTGCGTGGACGACTAATGGTCAAGTAGCTAAAGCTATGGCCTCTAGTCACACTGGGTTATACAGCGTGTTTCAAAAAGAATATACATATTTCGAATGCATATATTTATTAAACTGTATGACATATGAATATGAAACTTTACACACATATGCGCGGACCTCTCAGGGTCAGATTACAGATGTTCAATATGTCCTCCATCAGCGACACGAACAATATCACATCAATACTCAAGTTCCTCTCATACTCGGACAAGCATGTCCGTCGTCACTGATGTTATGACAATACGGATCCGGTTCTTCACCTCTTCCAGGTTCTGTGGGAGTGGCGGTACATAAGCATTGTCTTTAGTGAAATTCCACAGGAAGAAGTCACAGGGTGTCAAACTCGAGAACACAAAATGATTTCTGCTTCGGAGTAGCCATTTTAAACATGTGACGATTACCACGCAAAACAGAATACAACTGACATCTAGCGGCTATTAATATAAACTAGACTATGTATTCGTTTCACCAATAGCCGATCCAAGGCGCAGTGATCGATAGTTTTGGACAAAATAACACTTGTAATACGTATATTCTTTTTGAAACACGGTGTATTTCTATCTGTGGAATGGACGGATTTTATGAAGTTTCCGCGATTTCTTCTTATATCTGATATCAATAGATGCCTTTTTTCCAATGAAAAATTTTTACGAAGGCATCTCTTGCCATAAACAGACAGTTATGGATTGCAGTAAATGAATAATGTAGCCCAGTCTATATGTAACTGCATTGCTAATTTAGATGCCAATTTAATACTTTTCTTGAATATTTAGAATAGACAGAGAGAGAAAATATCATTTTGTACACATACGAATACCACAAATAATAAAATCGGTTTCACGAATAGATTTCCATGCATACGAATATTTTCAGCTCTTCTTTGGTTTTGGGTCGATCTCTGTAGATTTGATCTCTAAAATAGCCCCATAAAAAGAAGTATAGTGTTAATTCAGGGCTATAGGAGAGCCAAAAAAAGTTCATCGCGAAAGCGATTTGGGAATCCTCTTGCGAAGATATGATTGTCATATTGACTTCTGAGCAAGTTCAAGACGTCTCCTGTTAAGCGTGGAGGAGCTCCATTCTGCTGAAACCCGGTCTTATATTCAGTGTTCGTGGTAGGCATCAGGAACGAACTTCTTGCTCAAGAAGTCAAGGTCGCGTTCAGAATTCGCAATCTGGACAAAAAGTGCGGACCAAAAGGCTATCAATACAAAACCCACACGAAAGAGTGGCTTTTTGTGGATGAAGGGACTTGACAACGACAAACTGTGGCTTCTCGATGCCCCAGACCCGATAATTTTGATGATTGACATAAATATTCAACCAGATGTGTGCTTCTGAAAAACCAATATCATCACATTTGAAACCAGTGTCGATCATTTAACACACGATGTTGGCAAAATTCAGTCTTTTTCCCATAACATTTGGACCGAGAGGCTGTCCTAAGTGAATTTGTATGGTAAAATATCAATATCTTTGCGGGCTACAGCTCGCATGCTCCATGCTACCGATCTCCACACTGTGGCTGCACTGACGTGAAGCTGTTGAGCGAAGTGCCGAGTTGATATTAGTGGCTATTTCGCCATTATTGTTTTGACAGCGTTGATGTTTTCAAGCGTCCTTGCTGTCTTTTGTTTGGCCTTCGTGTCCCTTTGTCATCAGCTACTAAACCTGTTCGGTCAAACTTGTCAACGCTCATCGATCGTTACGTTTTGGCGAAAACAAATTATTCTTCAAAACTAATCTAAGTTCATAGATATGTTTCCTTTTGGCCCCTGTACCAGCATGCACAATTTCACTTCACTATATCCACTCTTAAAAGAGTTGAAATCTTAAAAGAGAGAAAATGGTCTTAAAAGAGAGAAATTGTTATTCAACTTAAAGTTTCGATATACCCTGTTAAGCATTCCGTACTCAAAATTATTATAAAATCAATTCCATTTAAGAATATTTCGAGAGAATAATTTATTATTGCGAAGTATGCGAAGACCATCTGTCTTAGTTGGCATGCTTTTGCGAAGTTTTTAAATATTTTGAGTCCACAGGAAACCTCAGACTAATGAATAAACATTAAATACATAAGAACCTTCCATAAAAAAACTAAAAACATATTGCATTTGAAGATCAGTTGCAAATAGTATCCGAAATAAGAGTCATTGCGCACTGTGGAAATTCGAAGGAAAGGGGGAGAACTGAAATTTTTTAAGAAGGTAGAATTTTGAGTTTTCGAAATAAAATTATATTTTCAAATTGATTAGCACCATCTTTCTCTCCGCACCTTCCCCCATCTTCTTACCTGCTGATTCCAAACTTATTTCCTTACCTTGGCTGTAATGTCTGATTTCTATTAGAGAGGTCTGTAGTATATTGAACAAATCTTCTGGTTGCGATTTCCTTCAAGAGTAAATTCCTTTGAATACTGCTTGCAAATATTTGCCAATTTTAGTTCCACGCTTTACCATAAGCAGCTCGACATGTCCTGCCAATCATTTCTACCATGTTATATATTAACCTGCTTTATTCTTCCTTTTGCACCTGAATCTTTTTTAATTAAGTTGTAATGTTGCGCGCTTCCAACCTGCACGCAACAATAGTGGTGACTGCTGAGAACTGGAAAGTAGACAAAGTCTTGAGAAGGGTTTAAGTCCCTTTTTATTCAACTTTAGAAATTACAAATGCGTGCTCTTGACGCTCACAAACTACGCCGACCCGGCGGTGAAATAAAAATAAGAAACTGAAAAGAGATAATAACAAGTGACTAACTACGAGGCTCTCTAAACGTAACTAACCTCACCGCGTTCTAAGATACCGCTGATAATTCAGCAAACTTCTGAATATTACGTTGAAAGATTAACAAACTGCCGAGGCAAGCACACAGGCTGAAACACGTGGTTCTTCAATTTCTAACTAGCCACCTCCACGCTCGTGAAGCAAGAAAGCACACCTTCGAACTCGTTTCCTTTCTATTTAACTCAGATTACTTCCGCTGGCAATTTGAATCCTTGCGCGTTCTACTAAAATTTACATACTCTGGCATTGGCAATTCCAGGGGAAAGTAAGGCTTGACAGGAAAGATAGTTTAATGTTAGTTAAAATAAATATAAACCCTACAAAGTGAAATTCTAAACAATTTAGAATAATTTATCGACTGAAGGTAGCGTTATTAACATGACTTCATGTTCAGTGTAAGTGTCCTACGAACAAATTTCGGCAGTTTAAAGATCTAAAAATAAATAATACAGTATTTTCTTTTACATTTCTAATTTAACAGTAGTTCATCGAGGTAATGATAGGATTTTATTAAATCATTTTAATAATTTTTGTAAACTTACTTTGTACTGCTTATTTCCATTTCATATTACCATTTTCATAATATGTTTAGTTTATTTTTAAGCGTAAGAGAGAGGAAATTGCATGGAAGCATTTTTATTTTACTGCATTAGATTTGGGGAAAATTTTGACTATTGAATTTTTACGATTGAGTTCAATAAACGAATTAATTTTTTATCTTTATGTTTTGATTATACTGAGTGATTCTGCTAAATATTTAAAACTAAAACTCCCAACCTAAATGCGACAATGAGTGGTTGGTGTCCTTGCATGACGAGTCGTCTGTGATATATCTTCTGTGATATATCTGATAGTCGTCTGTGATATATCTGTGGAGATAAATATACTTTTTAGGAGTGATATTTTTCTCTCGGTGTGAATTCTAATAAAAAATTTCATGAGAGTGTGAAACAAAAAAAAAAACGGTTGGGAACCTCTAGTTAGAACGGTGTTTGTTAACATTTTCCCTATAATTATTGCAATAAATTTTCCTGTTGTAATTTACTAACGTTTTAGTAGCTAATTTTCTTTTACTGCGTGTAATTTCTTTAACTTTAGACATTGCTATCAAAGTGTAGTAGCTGGTCCTTCAACACATTCAATCTTGATGTCTCAACTGGTGGACGCTCCCTCTCTTACCTGCTGGTGCACCTTTTTCAAGAGTATGGCTTTGTGAAAGCTTTTAGGTTGGATATTGTCAAAGTCTGGCATTGTTTTAGTAAGTTCAGTTTAATTTTTCACAAAAGTTTATTGAAAAATGAAGTGAAACTAAAATTCAAGTGAAAGAAAACATATAAATCTCGTTAGGCATGTTTCTTATGCTCATTATTACAGAATATTGTACATGTTATTCATATTATTAGTGATATGGTCCTTAAAATGAAAAAAGGAGTTGCTCTAAGATGCGAAATATATTCTAAGTTTGTAAATAAAGCGGTATTTCAGTTTTCATTTTAATGCGTAAATATATCTAAAGATTATCCATTTTATTATTTTTTTATAAAATGCGTTGTTTATTTTATGACCTTATCAGTTTAAAAAACTTCTTAACACATGTAAAATATTCCTGAATGGAGTAGTGTTAACCAAAACTCTGTTTGATGTTCTAATATTGATAAATGTTTTATTCGTGTCTATTAAGTTATTAATTCATCCATAAAATAAGAAAGTTTTTAACTTGCTAAATTTAATAAAATTATCCAATACAAACACTATACTAGTATATTTAAAATTAGTGACTTTAAAAGTGCTTTATACTTAAACTTTTCAAAAGGCAGCGTACTTTTCATTAAAATATTTTAAGTATAGAGTGAGTCAAAAGTCAGCTATAATGAATTAACAGTAGAGTACTCAGAGAATAAATGCAGGAAATTGCGATTTTTTTTAACTATTTCACTATTTTTATAATTATGTCCACTAGATGCCGCTTTAAGTAATAGGAGCAGAAAGTTCTGAACTGGAAGCACTAAATGTGTTCTTCAAGCTCGGTCAAAATTCTGGTTCATTTACTCATATCCTTTCTTCTTTTAAATTAATCCCACTGCTGACGAGACCATTTCCTCTTAATTAACCTTTAACATTTGTTCTGATGTTATTTAAATGACTAACTTTTTCATAGAACAGATCCCCGCATACAACATTAGCATATTTATATGTCTAGCATGGTACGATATTGCTAGAGAAGAAAATCCTTAATATTTAATTTATATTTTTATCAGGGTTAATTTTCAGTTGGCACGCATTTCGTTTACAATCATTTACGTTTTGGATATGTTTGATTGATGTATTTCACTTTTGCTTTTTATTTCTTCAAGCGTGTTTCGATAGTACGTAATGTGATTACTGTGTACGTAATTGTGATTTAAGTTTGTGTAATACATGCGTTACATAATTTTATGCCAGTTTAATATGTATATGCACGCACACACTCATACGCACATATCTATCTCGCTGTCTCTGTAGATAGATATCTGTATAAGTTAAGCATACACTAGTGTGCACAAATTAAGAACGAAGAGGGAAAATCAGCTAATGAGCGGAACGAAGAGGCAGAGCAGACTGAAAGACCAATCACGAGATCGACTAGGGTCAGGTACAGTAGCACATGTGCGTATATGCAGTTAAACATAATGGGGGAGTGTCGGAGGGGTATAAAGTTTGCTGCCAGTGTGAGCTGAGTATTTCTGAAAAAGTTGTTTCACTGCGTATATCAGTTTAAACAACGTTGAGCTGCTGCCTCAGTGTGAAATGTTGAACAATCAATTTTTAGATGACATCTGGATGATTTTACGCAAAGTCGAGTTAATGGAAAGACTGAGGAAGGTCAGAGGATGACAAGTGTGGCTGCGGAGTTTAGGAGTACACACAGCATCATTTCACGACTTCACGGAGAGCATTTCAGACTACAGCAACAGCTGTCCGTATTACCGCTGTAAGTATTACCTTTCTGTGAAATTAAAAAAAAAGTTTTGCCTAAAGAAAATTTAAATTTTAATCCTGGAGCGAAATTGAAAAAATGGGGGGGGGAAATTAAAATGAAAACGATGAAACTATTGAAAAAATCAAATTTACCCTTCTGGAAGCCAACAGTATATATCAACTGCTAAAATTACAGACGCCTAATAGGTTGCCAGAATTTTAAACGAGCCTTGCAAAAGGGAAGACCAGAAAATGAAAAACAAATCTTCCATTATCAAATAGCAAGGGACGTAAAAACCAATAACGGATCAGCAGTGGTCATCCACGAGCAACCACGGCAGCAGACGACAGATATATTGCCCTACAGGCAAGAAGGAACAGATGGCAGGAGAAATCTGTCAAGACATGTGGTTGAGTCGATTGGACATGACCTGTACGATGTATACCATTAACACCTACTCATCGGAGAAAGTGTTTTTTTTTTGTGGTGCAGGGAACACCAAAATTGGACAGATAATCAATGGGATAGAGTACTCTTTACGGATGAGAGCAGATTTAGTCTGAGTAGCAATCTTAGACACATACACATCTGTAGAGAGCAAGGAACACGCAATACTCCCTCCAGCATGATCAAAAGGGGCCGGTTTGGAGGTAGCGGAGTTCTCATTTAGAGAGGCATCATACTTGGTAGCTTTACCGACCTTCACATCTTCCAAGAAGGTTCAGTCACCGAGGTCCTCTATTGTAACGAGGTTCTTCTTCATTACGTGCGTCTTTTCAGAGGTGCTATTAGTCCTCAGTTCCTCTTTATGGACAACAATGCTCCACCTCATCGCACAGTTACTGTCGAAGAGCTGTTGGAGAGTGAGGATACTGAACGAATGGACTGGCTGGAAAGTCCTCCGGATCTAAATCCCATCCAGCATGTATGGGGCTTTCTAGGGAGACACGTGGCAGCACGTAACTTATCGCCAGTAACGATTCTGGATCTGCATTTGACGATACAAGAGGAATGGGCAGCATTGCTTCTACAGCTCATTGAGAAACTTATACTCAGTATGGACAAACGATGTGAAACCGCACAGTACTCAGGGAAGATCATATCCCCTAATAAAGGCTGGATGTTTCTTGCTTGAAACCTGTCACATGGATATTCTTCTGTCGCATTGTGCTCTATGATACATTTTTAATAAAGTTTCTTTTTATACTTTTGATTTTTTTGGGGGGAGGAGTTCTGCTTACATTGTCCATTTTCGTACGTCTTTGGGATCTTAGGAAATTATTTGTGTTGCTTTGGAAAGCTTTTGAACAATGTTATATTGAAAAAAACCGTCTCGTCCTTAATTTTTGCACGCCAGTGTATATATACGCACAAATCAAAAATTAAAAAAAAAAATCCAAACGAAAGACAATAAAACGCCGTATTAAAAATTTTGAAGTTTTATCTTTTGCATTATAAACTGATGGAACGTAAATTAAAGAGCACTGCAAAATTGGAGTAAAAAATTGTTCACTTAAAATAAGATATATAAAATACACATATAAAATACAGGAAATTTGTGCAAAAAAAAAAAAAAAATAAAATAAAAATAAAAATTTAATCTTCTTTGTTTAACGCTTCAAACGAAACTTATCAAGGGTGTTCTGAAGCCCTAAACCAAGTTGATTAATGAGTGTCGAAAATATGTTTCGTTCCACTGAATTCTCTGAGACTCAACCGCTTTATATTAATACAACTTTCATATCAAGTCTCATTAAATTCAGTTTTTCTCCTATATGCCTTCGCACTCATACAGTACAAACAATTGTATCAGCAGGACTTTTTTTATTAGCACAAAATGTTTAAATGTTTTAATATTCACCACCATTCTGCTATCCAGGCTCTCTGAAAAATTCCGCTTATTTTTTTCTTATTTTTTCCTTAACTTCTTCATCAGGACTGTTGTTGTTCATCGTTAATATCTGAGTATAAATCAGTTTCCATCGTGATCAATATCGTCATCGCCATGGAAATTTAACTCACGACCATCGTTCATGGAACAGGTACACATGATGTTTTTTGTTGATCCCTACGTTTTACCAGAAAATAAGAACGAAAAGAGAGTAAAGCAAAAGTAAAGCATATCCATTCGCAATTACCTCCCCCCCCCAAGTTCTGCTATGCTGCCTCAACCATGGAGGTACCTCCATGGCCTCAACGTGGCGGGGGTGTCACTGGGCGGAACAGGCGAAGTACGTCGGGAGCATAGCTCCTGATAGGGCCACCCTAGGCGTGAAGGCCGTTCCAACATGCCCAGCTAAAGCATAGCAGGTGAAGATCCTTCAGGGGATTACCGTCTTAGTGATCCGATGTCACAATCCTGGAGACCCAGTGATCTCTCCTCCTTCCTGCCTCTTCTCCTCTTAAGTGCAATTTTTCTCGTTTTCGTTCTCCCTTGTGGTTTCCTCTTCTGAGGTTCGGGTCGTCATAAGAAACTGGAACAACCTTGTCCCTAGTTTTTCGAGTGGCGAGAAAATGCAAGACAGTTCATGTACTACGCGTACTAATACAACGGCATGCATATAGCGCGACATATTCTAAGATGCGAAATCTAAATAATGGAGAAATGCACAGATGTAAAATCCCGCAGTAATATTCTAATTGTAAATGCAAAAGAAATCTATGTATATTAGGAATGCCAATGTAATCCATTATATGTTTTTTTTTTTTTTTCTTTTGTACACGGTAAATATGTTAATGTAATGATAAAGTAACAAGTGTAAAGAACTTTGGTATAGAATGGTATTGTAAAGCTTACCGGTTTAAGAATAAGGAGTAATGTAATATGCACATTCGTATAAGTTATGCAGTATAATTTATCCTGCATAATGTTTTACCTGTGCATAACAAATTCTCCTGCGTATAACTTAACACGCATCATGTATATACCCCCTTCTGTGCATGTTTTTCCTACGTATCACTAATTTCCCTGTGTATAATTTAATGCCCTTTCTGAGTTTAATGCGCATCTAGTGCAAAACAGCATTATTACAATCTGATGATAATGTATTTGTTACCAGTATACGACATATTAGGAAAGAAAATTAATGTAATAAGTAGTTGCGAAGTTAATATAATGTTAAGGTAAGGCGTTATTTCGTCTTCTCAATCAGATGTGTAGAATATAATGTAATGTGTAAACCATGTATCGGAATATATAATGTTGTAATATGTAATGTAGTATGTACTATCTTGTTAATTTGCTATGTAGTACATAATCTAATGCGTAAATCATGTATCGTAATATATAATGTAATATG